GCTGCACATATCTGTCAGTAGTTTTCCACATGTAATAATATTCAATGATGCTAGTCAATGATTTCCAAGGGAGAAAGTCTTGACGTATATCATTGAAGTCTTTGCCATATTTTTCCAATGCTTCTTCAAATAAGCTAGCTTCAGAGGCTGACCACTCCTCCATTTCATCTCTGCATAAAACAGGTCCTCCAAGGGGCACCAAGACACTAATTGCACTGCTCAACTCATAGCCGTGTCTGTACAATGTATCCATAGCATGAAACAAGGTGATGTCTCGGGAAGCAGCGGCAGCGCTCATGTGCAGGCTCGGCTGCCTCACAGAGCTGCTGCAGTCGAGGGCTCGTGCAAAGGTCCCCACAGCACGTGCTACAACTAAAAACTGGTCAATCTGTCGGTCCGTAAGTGGGCTATTTGGATCCCAAACTTTAACCTCCAATTTCGACTGTTCCCTCTCATCTGATTCTCCGTCCAGGAGCACGTCTGGAATGTCCGCTTGGTATCGAGGGCCCACTCGGATTTCACCTTTGTCAGCTAATAATGTTTTCACTGAGGGGTCATAGACCAAGGAGTAGAAAAACGTGTCCTCTTTGTCAAGATATGACAACACCGATTCTGTCTCATTCAAAAGGGCAACGCTGCATTTTCCCCTGATATGTGTTGCAGGTAGAGATTCATACTGCCGTGACAAAAACAGCTCCCGATGTTTCAACTGATGTTTCTGTTTATCAGTCAAGTCGATCTCAACTATTGTTTCAGATTCTTCCTCAATTTCCTCTATATAAATAAAATCCAAATAATCCATTATTACAAAGCACACTATTTCTCTGAATACTAAACCAACATTTCATTTTCTTCAAACTAAGCAATTTTAAATTTATACACTGTCACTTCAATTACAAGCATAGAATTAAATTCTTTGGGCTTAAAAAAAAAAACCCTCCAATTTAAAACTGGCAGGCAGGAGCTGGTCCTTCTGCCACAGCAACCACTGAAGAACAGTAGCCATGGCCCTCCGCAATCCCATGGCTGTGGGCCTCACCAAGGGCCACAAGGTGACTAAGAATGTGAGCAAACCGAGGCACAGCCGCTCTCCGTACTGAAGTGTTGTTACATGTAAGAGGCACGGCCTAGAGGGAGGAAGTTAGCTTACTAGAAGTGTGTCCATCGAGGAGGTCATAGGACTCTGGTACTTGCTCTTTCACTTTTCCTTTCCTGGTTGGCATGTGTGAACAGCTTCTTCTGCAGGTATTTTTGCTTATACCAGGATGGCAAGGTCAATGAATCATGGACTCAAAGCTCCAAAATTCTGAGCCAAAATGAAATCTATTTCTTAAAAGTTGTTTATTTTAGGTATTTTGTTACAGTGACCAAAAACTAACAATGACATTTGCAGAAAATATGACAGATAATGTTCACAAATCAGAAAGATTAATGAGCAATTCAGTCATAGTTACATACAAAAATAATGGACTGAAGGAATTATTAAGAACAACATTAAAAAGATGCAAAATGCAAAAAGCTACTGAACCACAAGAAATCAGAGTAAAAAGGTACAGCACATATCTAACTGGATACACACTCCTCAGACACAGGAAGCCAAATGAGCCTCAAGCAGATTAAAAAAATATAAGTAAAAACAACATAGAAAACAACCTTCAGCCAGGAAGGAAACAAGGTTTCATACAATGTAATGGAAATGAGTTAAATCTTAATTTTCACTGATCATGGTAGTTCAGGCACACTGAATTACTTTCATTGTTCTAAAAGCATGAAAGTAAGGGTGAGGGAAAACATTTGAAATATTTTCAATGCTTTAAAAGCACGAAAGTAAGGGTGAGGGCAAACATTTTCTGATTTAAAACTCTAGGTACGTTTTGCTCCAAACAAATCTCCCCAAGCAAAATTGAAAAGACATGCAGAAGATAGAGAAAATGGTGGAGTAAAGCCCAGCAGCACATCCAAGTCTCTCAAGACCTGGAATCCAGACACCTGCAAAACAAAAATTTAGCAAAGAGAAAAGGAAGAAGAATTCTTGGAGACAAGAAAATGACAGGAGGGTCAGTGAAGGGGCCTTGTGCCGGCTGAGGTGTGCCAGTCCCGCAGAGCGGATTGTGGGTGGTTATCTCCTAACAGCAAGGAGATACCGAGGTGATTTCATTTGCAGAAGAGGGGGAGAAAAGGGCAGAGTAATCCTTCACTTCAGCATGGTGTTGAAGTCCTAGCCCTGATTGTGCATGTATCTGAAGAAAAGACCCTTAATGAGACTTAAGATGTCCTGAGGCTGAGCAGATTCCTCGGATATGTATCTTGAGACTCTTGCTGATTTAATTCTCTGCAATTCCATTTCTTTATAAATGTCCAGTCTGGGTATGGATCCACTGTTTTCACTCTCACTATTTAAAATAGTAAAGAAAGCAGGTTTCAATATGTTGCTCAGACTCCTAATCATCCTCCTGCTTTTGGCCTCTCTAGCACTGGGATTACAGGCATGAACCATCACATTAGGTCTTGGTGCCTGGCTCAGTGTGCCTGGGGTTGGGTCAGTGTGACTTGTGGTGCTGGGGATTGAACCCTAGTCCCTGAGCTTGACTAAGCAGGCACTTAGTCCACTGAGCTATCTCGCTGGCCTGGGAATTATATTCTATTTGAATATATTATCACATACCTTTCTTGCTGTCTAGCTATTGTTCCCTCCTAACGTGTTTTGTTTCTGTCCATGTTTTTTTCTTTTTCTTATGCTTCTTTTCTCTGACATTTCCTCAATGTATTCAGTATTCTTTTCTTCAGTTTGATCACAACACAACAATATCTGTGTCTTGGAAGTATTTTGGACAAGATATAAAATTATTTTTTCTCCTCTCAGTTAGCCAAAGACTTTAGGGAACCAGTTCTCTATTTGATTGTGCAATGAAGGAAAGGACCACCCACCGTAACTGTGACTACTCTGAGAAAGGAGAGCCACTCCCCTACTTCTTCGGTGACGTGTATCACACTGCATGTAGGGTGTTTCCCCTTGACAGTCCAGGTGGAGCTGGGGTTCTAAAGAACCTTCTGCTAGCTGAAGCTGAACATTAACTGCTGGGACAGGAAGTGATAGTCTTTTCCTGACTATTTTGTGTCCGTGTCTAAATCTTTGTTCATGGAATGGAACCCGAGAAAATTAAAGAGTACTTAGGCTTACAAAAAAATAAAATAAAATAAGACAGGAAAGCTAAAAGCTGTGGAAAAACTGACAACAATGTGGAGAAAAGAATAGAACAGTCTGGAATGCTAGCTGTGACCCTGGGGGAGGTGGATTCTACTCCTGAAGCATAAGCCTGGGGAAGGTTAGCAGCCCAAGGGGAAAACAATGGCTCAGCAACACTAGCCCTTAAAAAAGTTCAGGAGATGGCTCAGTAGAATAAGTGCTTCTCTGGCAAGCACAAGGGTCTGAATTCAATCCCCAGTTCCACAAAAAAAAAAAAAAAAGTTCCCAGTTACTGCAGACTGCAAAAAGAGTGTAGGGTTTTATTCTGAAGATGGCTTCTTCCACAGGGCAGGCTAGAGTTGAAGAAATTCACTGCAGCTCCCACCATTTGCAAGAGTGTTTCATAAGGAGTCACTTTGGAAAGGGGTTAAGTATTCAAGGCTGACCTACTCTGGGAAACAGAAGTAACAGAATAACTACACTTCAGGGTTTCTGTGGTCACCCTACCACAGAGGCTGAGTGGGAGATGGCTGAAAGAGATAGCCATGAGAAGGCGTAGGCTAGCCACAAATGAACTGAGAAGTTCAAGCAGCAGAGAGCACAGGCCAGGTAGGATGCTCTGGTATGCCTTCTGTGATGAGAAGTCTGGCTGGTTTGATGTGGCTTCTCTCAAGGAAACCTGGCCTTTTTTTTTTTTTTTTTTTCTTTTTTCTCATTAAAGGTTGTTTTTCTTTCTGTTTGTTCTAAAGGAACTAGGTCTGAAATCCTTTCACAAAGTCAAGCGAAGTGCTTGAACACCCTCCACCCCATACCCTGCTATCTCTGTCCAGCACAGAGTTTAGTGGTCTGCTTCCCCTACCTCCAAATATAATCAAAGATAAGCCTTGGCTTGGATGGTAGCCACAGTTTGAGGGTGTACAGACAAGGGGGGAGGAGCTCAGAGGCCAGATAGGTAGGTGCCAACAGCAGTGACTTAGGAAACTCAACAAAGGTGGAGTAGGACTCAAACAACACACTGTCTTGGTCACTTTCCTCTCATTGCTGAGACAAGACACAGGACACTGAAAAATAAGGAAGGGCAGGTTTGTTTAGCTCACGGTTTGTGGAGGTTTCAGTCTAAAATCAGCCTGCTCAAAAGCAGGGTGGCGTGGCACAGGGACAACAGTTCAAGGTGACAAAAGACAGCAAAAGCAGCAAGAGCGAAAAGGGATGGGGAGCAAGCCTCTTTTCCTCCCTTATGTAGCACGTAGGCTGCCCCCCGTAGCACGGGTGTGGCACTCACACCACCTCCATGTCCTTCTCTTACACAGGCTCAGAATGTTTGCGAGGTGAGGACTGTGGTCCCCTGCTGAGTCACTTAGCTAAGTTGCTGAACTTCTCCAGTTGATATAATATATAAACCATTACACACACTCAAGAAAAAAGAATGTGTGTGAAGACAAAATAGATGCCAGTTATGATTCGCAACTCCTCTCTCATACCTGAGGGATTTCACTATTACAGGCCCTGGAAAGAAATCACTTGTTCAAACACATGGATGAATGTTTTGGACTCATTTCTCTTTTTTGTTTGTTTTTTAGGCTTTCCTTTGCTTT